TCAAACACAGCACTATACTCACTAACCTGTCTACCACAAACTGCGGGCAGAAGACTTTCGACTACATTCGTGCCTTTCTATCACATCTCACCGCCTTCATTCGCCTTAATTCTACCGAACACGGCTCGTACTTATTAGGCACGCGGGGTACACATCAAGGGGCATTCCTGTCTCCTCTGGTTTTTAACCTGGCGATGATGAACCTCCCCTCTCTTCTAAGCGAGGTCGAGGGAATACAACACGCACTATATGCGGACGATATCACAATCTGGACCAACACCGGCTCCTTAGCGCAAATCGAAGAACGCCTGCAAAAGGCTGCCCTTCTGGTGGATACCTACGCTGGTTCATGCGGCCTGGAGTGCTCTCCAGCTAAATCGGCTCTTCTTTCAGTCTCTCCGCTACCGCCGCCTAAAATTTTTCTTCCGTCCGGGCCCGTCCCGTCAGTGCAAAATATTCGGGTTCTTGGCCTTCACCTCACATCGTCCTTGGATCCAAAGGGCACAATAGCAGGCCTCAGACGCACCAGCGAGCAGGTGAGCCGCATGATACGGCGAGTGCCTACCAAGCGCTACGGCCTCCGCGGGTCTCAGTCCCTCCGATTGGCCCACGCGTTTGTGACCAGTCGCGTCCTCTACGCCTTGCCTTACCTTCGCCTGCGTCATCGAGACGAGCACCAGCTGGACGTCCTTCTTCGTTCAGTATACAAACGCGCTCTGGACCTACCTATTGCAACTTCCAACAGCCGATTCGCGGCTCTGGGGGTACACAACACCTTTGCAGAGATGCGCGAAGCTCATCGCGTTAACCAAATCAATCGACTGTCGCAGACGCCTTCAGGGCGCCGTCTTCTACACAGACTTGGCCTTAACCCGATATCTGACCAAGACCCTCTGCAGCCGGTACCAGAGCTCTGGCGTCAAAAGCTATGGGTGGAACCTCTACCCCGTAATATGAACCCAGACCTCCATCCTGGCCGTAGACTAGCACGCGCCGCGGCCCTTCATACGCGACACTCCGATCGTTCTGGTGTTTTCTACGTGGACGTCTCGGGTCCCTCCCCCTCGGGTCACTTCACAGCTGCCGTGATTACAGAGGGCAAACACGTCGATGGCCTCTCCTTTCGAGCAGACACGGTAACGCACGCTGAAGAGGTTGCCATAGCTTTGGCTGCCTCTCACCCTGCCTCACGCACCATCCTGACGGACTCGCGCTCGGCCTGTTCTCAGTACCTTCAGGGTTCCATTGCCCCGCTGGCGGCTAGCCTACTACAGGCAGCCTCTTGGCGCTTTAACCCTCATCCCATTCGTATAGTCTGGACCCCAGGCCAGCCCCGCCGCGGTGGTCTAGTGGCTAAGGTACTCGGCTGCTGACCCGCAGGGCGCGGGTTCGAATCCCGGCTGCGGCGGCTGCATTTCCGATGGAGGCGGAAATGTTGTAGGCCCGTGTGCTCAGATTTGGGTGCACGTTAAAGAACCCCAGGTGGTCTAAATTTCCGGAGCCCTCCACTACGGCGTCTCTCATAATCATAGAGTGGTTTTGGGACGTTAAACCCCACATATCAATCAATGGACCCCAGGCCACTCGGGCCTGCCCGGCAACGAGGCGGCAAATGCCGCTGCCCGCGCTTTTCCTGTCCGGGCCGTTGCCCCTCCATGTCCCGAGACGGAATCTGGCAATACCAACCTGACTCGCTTTCGCGAAATTTTGGCTTATTACCGGGCTTCGCGCCGCCTCTACCCGGACCCCGCACGCGGTTTGGAGAAAGCGGACGAACGACTACTACGCCGCCTGCAGACTAACACCTTTATCAGTCCGGCGGTCGCCAGGCACTTTTTGCCGGAAATCAATGGCACCTGCTCGAGCTGTCATGTCCTCGCCGACACATATCACATCGTAGCATCGTGCCCAGTTAATCCCGCCCCTTTCTCATCCCCTTTTCCTATCCCAACCAGAGAGGCTTGGGAGGAGCACCTGCTCGGCTGCTCTACCTTGGCTGCGCAACGCTCCTTGGTGGAGCGTGCACGGGCAGCTTCCAGCTCCACTGGCGTCCCGGAATAGGGTCTGGCCACTCTAGCATGCCGATGGGCCGCGTCGGCACTCTCTAGTAGACTTTTTCTGAAATAAATGTTTTTTACCACCAACACCTAAGTGACTATGTTAGAGAAAGGAAAAGTGCCGCCCGTAATTTTCTATCACTGGGATAACACCTCAACAGGACTGCACAAGGATAGGGGGAGTGGGAAGAAAAGTGAATAGGAAAGGAAAAACAGAAGAAGTAGCAGAGAAAAAAAAATGAATTCGAGTCGTGTTCGCGTGCGCGCGTCGAAAACTTCAGAGGACACACCTGTCCAGAAAGGCCACGGAGAAGGTCGGGAGAAGAGGATCCGCCCAGCTGTGAGAGCTGTAACGAGCCGTGTTGGCGCGTTTGATGTTGGGTGAGCGCGGAACGCTCGCCGGGGCTCATAGCCGCGGCTCAATCGGTCGTTCCGCTGGCTTCACATGTACCATATCTGGTATTACGGGATGTGAACGGAGAACGAAGGTATGGTACTGGTGCCAACATAATAATCATGAGATGCGCGTCATGTACGAACATGACTACATGCCACGCTTATGTTGCGCTCGCGGGCATTTCGCTAGCTTCACATATACCATATTTAGTATTACGGGACGTGAATGGATAACGAAGGTATGTTACTTATGCAAACATGATGATCATGAGATGCGTGTCATGTAAGAATACGACTACATGCCACGCTCATAATGCGCTCGCAATCGTTTCGCTAGCTTCACATATACCATATTTGGTATTACGGGACGTGAATGGATAACAAAGTATGTGGTTCAAACTAAGTAATCATGAGATACGTGTCATGTTAGAACATGACTACATGCCACGCTAATGATGTTCTTGTGGTCGTTTCGCTAGCTTCATATATACCATATTTGGTATTACGGGACATGAATGGATAACGAAGGCATGTGACTGGTGCAAAAATGATAATCACGAGATGTGTATAATGTAAGAACGTGACTACACGCCACGCTCATCGTGCGCTCGCAGTCGTTTCGCTAGTTTCACGTATATCATATCTGGTATTACGGGATGTGAATAGACGATGAAGGTAAATAGCACGTTTAAATATGATAAATATTTAATGCGTGTCATGTAAAAAACGCCTGGCCTGCGCGGAAGGCGCAGCGCAGTACAGCGAAAACTGGAAGAGCGGCCTTTCAGAGCCTTTACTAAACACTCATTGGGTAACTGCTGCAAGCCCACTTGCTTGATGCTCACTACAGAATGAATAATAAATATTTAGGAGCAGTAGGCCTGCATTCGCTATGCTATTTTTCGTCATCCGTCAAGCATGGTATCTGCTAAACTATTGTTCTTGGAGTGACTGGAGGAATTATGCGTGGAGTGGGTATGCGCCACAGTTAATTCAAGAGCAAGCTTTTGTAGTGGGTTGGAGCGTTGGATGACCCACTCGTTATGCCATTTGCATTGTGCGATGACGGCTTGGTCTATCGCTGTTTTAAAACGCTTTATAAGACGTATTAACGTGATTTCTTTCCCGACATCAAGCTCGCCTAAGGCAAGTTGGCAACATTTCCCATGCACTGGCGCGGTTCAATGGTAGAATACTAGGGTGGCTCCCAGCGGACCCGGGTTCGTGTCCCTTGAGTCATAGGAAAAGGAAATAACTTTATTAAAGAAAAAAAAACGGCAAGATGTGGCAGAATTGTCTCCTTCCCCTAGGTGGCAGCCATGAGTCCTTGCGCTCTGGCGGCATCCTCGGCTTGCCGAAGGACGTGTGATAGGTACTAGGTTTTTTCTTTTCTAATTTCCTGCGATGTGGTTACGGACACCAGCGGTGGAGCCAGCGGTGGCGGACAACTACGGCGCTGCGTGAGACATGAGTTGTGCTCCCATAACTGCTTTCGCTGTAAAACATGATACATGCCGTGCCTCTATAGCGTGCTCACGGTCGTTTCGCTAGCTTCACACATACTAAATTTGGTATTACGTTACGTGAATAGACGACGAAGTTATATGACAGATCCAAACATGATAATCAGGGCATGCGTGACATGTAAAACATGAGTATACATGTGCGCTCATAGCCTAGCTCCAGATATACCAAATTTGATATCACGTGACGTGAATAGACCGCGAATGTAAATGAGACGTCCAAACACATAATCATTACATGATGTAAAACATGACTACATGTTACGTTCATAGCTGGGTCGTGTCCATTTTGCTAGCTCCAGATACACCAAATTTGGTATCACATGACGTGGATGGACGACGAAGGTAAATGACGCGTTCAAACATGATAATCATGAAATGGAAGTGATGTACGGCAAAACTGACGTCCGCATCGTAAAGTTTACATAGTGCTGATTTTACAGTGGCATATCAACCTTCCTCAATCGTGTTCGCATATTATCGATTTCCAATCTATGTTGGATCTGCCATTTTTCTTTCTCAGCCGCGCAGCTCAACTTTGAGTGTGATCGTGGGCACGTGGTGGCAGGCAGCGACTGCCACAGTAGCTATATGCAGCTTACGATGCTCAAATAAGCCACCGGCCATGAGCGTTTGGTATATGGCAAAATAATTTGGGCTAATGACATAGTTTGTAGAAAAAAGATTGAGTGATTTTTAGTTGAGATTGAGAATTATTCGTAAATTCCATGGCTGCGCTATATAATGCATGGTTGGTGCGTTCTTAGGAGCCTCGACTGCGCAGCGTTTTCTAAACGTGTTCCAAAAGTGTTGCAGGGCCGCTTTGAAGGGCTAGAAAACAACCCCGAGGTCCAAAAATTGTAATGGAGCCTTGCTTTATAACATAATTGATTTGTCTATCTTCTTGCGCATAACAAAATTGAGGAAATTTGAAGTTAACCTTTGCGGGACCGTTCTGTCATTTTTCAATGACAATCTGACAAACTCTAAATGACACTACTCAGCGAATCGTCCCAGCTCTCACCACCGATGACTCCGACGTCTTTGACTTCAATTATGGGCACCGGACCGGGAAACTGAGGCTGGCCGTCACCGGGACCCAGTGGCTTCGGAGTCGGGGTGTCCAGGGCGTGAACACCGACGAACACTAGGACCGTGGCGAACACACTGGGCGTCATTTTTTTTTAACAAAGAACACCCAACCGAGAAGAAACGTGATGTTTCGATGCCGAATGTTCTTTTGTGTGTGACCACAGCGACTGCTCGCAAGCTCGATCGGGCAATCCTGGCGACGCCTTACAAGTCTCTGTGGCTCATTACCGCCAGGAAGTTTGAAGACGGCGTCATCCATAACAATCTGTTTCGAGTGCGTATTACATCCGCTTTTCATCACACTATAACGAGGCGGCCTAAAGATACACTTAAGCCTATTGCTAGGCTACGAATGAGGCAAAAACAACAGGAAATCAAAGGTCACTGCGGCCGTTTCCGTTCTCGTTTAATTGATTTGCATCATGAAGGCTGTCTTTCTAGCAAAAGTAACCGCAGCCTTCACGATTACTACCTATTTTGGCCACGCCCTGCTATTCAAGCGATTTATAACTCAGATTTATGTAGCCTGGCACCAGCAAGCGCACAAAAATGTGCCCTTAGAAGGAGCGACAGTCACATGTGTGTTTGTAGGCGCAGTTTTTCATAACTGATGCTCCCACGATCGTCGAGTTGATCAGCTATTTGAGATCCCAGGCTTGTTACAATGCACTTCGACCTTTATCGACGTCACTTGTCATTTCACGTTGCCACATTACGTTGTTGTCTGTAGATATCTTCCGCTGTGGCCGACAATGACTAAAGTTTAGCGCTGCGAACCACGTGTATGAAGTTCTACAATCACGGAAGTGAAGGAACGAAGCACGAGCGAGATTTTAACAATAAAAGAAAAAAGAAAGAAAGAAAGAAACAAACAAACAAGCAAGCACACGCCAAGCTCGCTTGCCGCCTATTTACCAATAGATGACGGGTTTATGATTTTTTTACGTTGAATTTAAGCGCGACACTCATTCGAAAGATTTCACGAGATCAACATACTCCTCAATCTCTTTATACGTTTTACAATTCTGTGTGATGGGCGCAAGGAAACACACGACGACGAACCGTGTGATTCGGTGTAATAGCTGCTAGCATTCCCGAGATGACGCCCAAAATTGTACTCATTTTATTGATCCTTATCTTTTTGTATTGACCTCTGTGGAGATTGATCTTGGAGCTCTTTTGTGGTGGATGCGCCCACCGGTGGCCACACGCCCGGATCCTCCACATGAGGCCTCGCGTACGTCTGGGTCCATTCGCGGGCGATCGTGTCGTACAACTGGTAATCGCTCTTGTAGTGCTGGGCCGCCTTCTGGTGGAGCACGCAGTTCATGTCCGGCGTCTTCATGAGATCGACGATGGCGACAAGCACGAATTCGACGGTCACTGCTGGTGACCACTTGCTGCGTAGGATGTCCAGGCCGATGTCTCCGTGTTCGCTCACGTTTGGGTGGTAGATTTTGGTGGTGAACTTTACCTGCGTAACGAGCACCAAAGAAAAATTGGCAGCGTAGTCCGGCACTAAAACATATGAAGCCGAAAGCCGGCTGCTGCCTACAGGAGTGAATCTAGCCACTCAACTTAACGTTGGGGGTCGTTCGAATTCACGGTGCACTTCAAGTGAAACAGGAGAAGGGGGCATTATGACTGTCGTATATTTAGTATGTGTACTATTTTCCCCAGAATACAATCACAGCAAAAATTAAAGTGTTGTTAATTTGTCCCACTCATATGTCCTAACCTGGGATTGAATGGAAGACAGGCCATAAATGGAGTGGTGCTGACAAAGGCTTTGGGAGAGGAGGAGGCGACCGCCCCATTTTGAATCCACCTCTGGCTGTTTCTGCAGTAATACCCATTGAAATACTTTGACGTTCTCAGTCGATTCCAATATCCCGCCCCTTTCCACTAGAGCTAGGGGCGTGCGAACATTCAAGTTTCGAATCAAATAATACCTTGCCGAATGTTTCAATTTGGCCTTCTAATATTTCAGATTTCGAATATACAGTTCGAAAGGGCAAACTTTTACAACAGGCCAATGGTGCAACTTGCCGGTTGGGTTAGGTGGCCGAAGCCACATCATTCGTAAGCCTTTTACTAAACCTTGTATCGATATCCTGGTTGAAAAGCGAGTACATCTTTACTTTATATGAGATAATGCCATTTACGCACGTATGAAACACCTACATACATACTGACGCGCGTATGTGCCAGTGGCGGTGACAACGAAGCGGCGCGAGTGTCCTTGGCCGAGAGCAGAGACAAAGAAGACGTCGCAGCCTTTGTCCTGTGATCGATAAAGCGTATTTGTTCGATGTTCTTTGTGTGCTCGTCGATCCCGTGTTGTCACACTGGTGGAGGTGCTGGGTAGTCTTCATGCTTGGCACCCCTTCGCAGACACGACATTCGAGCCCTGAATCGCTACCACGCGTCAACACACCAGTCCACCGTTTCAGTCGCCGTCTGCTAGGCCTGGCTCCTGAGCTCAATTCCTTACAAGAAACCGCCAGCAATCGCTTGCCTCCTTCAACCACCATGGCCACTGCAGCTCCAGTGCACATGACACTACAGAATCCCATGATTCTAGATTGTTTTCATGGTGAGACTTATGAAGACGCCCAAGACTGGCTGGACCAGTTCGAACGCTGTGCTAAGTACAACCAGTGGGCCACTCCAGAAGACAAGCTCGCGAATGTGTACTTCTACCTGAAGGACAACGCCCAGACGTGGTACATCAACAGGGAAAGAAGCTTGGCTATACGTGGGACGACTTCCGCAACCAGCTGGTTGACACGTTTACCAGTCTCGACAGAAAAGAAAATGCGCAACGCCTTTTGGAAGTTCAATTTCAAAAACCAAATGAGAGCGTTGCTATCTATGTTCGCCGGGGACATGACCCGTCTTTTCGGCAGGGCAGATCCCGAGATGCCGGAAGACCGGAAGCTGCGATATTTAATGCGAGGCGTGAAGGAGCAACTGTTTGCTGGGTTTGTGAGAAATCCACCAACCACAGTAGCTGAGTTCACGAAAGAAGCCACAGCTATTAAACGGGCCCTACAGCAACGGTACCGCCAGCAGAACCCGGTCAGCTTTCGAACGAGTAATCCTGTTACGGCTGCGGCGAGCCTCTCCGACGACAGGCCTTTGCGGGAAGTCATCCGGGAGATTTTGAGGGAGGAGCTTCGGCAGCTTGGTTTAATTCCAGCAATCGAACCGACGCCGGCATTGTCTTTTGTCGCTGATGTTGTCCGGGATGAGGTCCGTCAGGCTCTCTCTTCATCCGGGTCTAATGATGTGCGACGACATTTTACTTATGCTGATGCAGTCCGACGTCCCGTCGTCGCGCCTTCGGCACAGTGGACTCCAATGACTGGACCACCACCAACCCTGCAAACACAGCCACTCTCAGCGCCGACCACTTTCGCCACCTCATCGATTCCTCCGACAAGACGAATGCTGTATAGCCAACATGCCCCACAACGTCGCCCCACAACGTGGCCCAATAGTGAGTCTCCACTTACCTACCAGTGCCGGAAAACCGATTTGTGGCGTACCGCTGACCGTCGACCGGTATGCTTTCATTGTGGTGAAGCTGGGCACGTCTACAGAGTTTGCCGTTATCGCGACGCTCAGTACTCGATATTTCCTCGCTACCATGATTACGCTACGTACGACGATCGACGCACGAACAATGACACTCCTATGAACACACCGCCGCACAATCCAATGAGGCACGGGTCACGTTCTCCATCTCCTGCGCGGGGCACTTCACCTAATCGTCACAGTTTTGCCGACGTCACCAGGGGCAGGTCCCTTAGCCTGCGACGGGGAAACTAGACGCAGTGACCTCGGGGGGTGGGGTTGCCAATAATCGAAATTCCGAACAGCCCCCATCGCAGACAAATGACAGCTCGAAGCCACCGATACCGAAGAAGACGACAGCAACGACTAATTCGACGAATGAGACAACTGCCGACGTAATCGACGGTATCAGCGCTGACCTCGTCGTTCACATTGACGGCCACCAAGTGACGGCTCTTGTGGACACTGGCTCCCACTTTTCTATAATAAGCCTACAGCTAGCCGAAAGACTAAGGAAGGTGAAAATTCCATGGCACGGACCCAATATAAGAACTGCAGGAGGTCAGCTGATGACACCGGTTGGAAAGTGCACGGCCCGAATTTTTATCGCTGGTTCCGCCTTTGTCGCCACCCTCGTCATTCTCCACGGGTGCTGTAAACAGCTCATATTGGGAATGGATTTCTTGCGCGAATACGGGGCTGTGGTTGACCTCCGCGACAGAAGCGTAACGCTCGCTATAAGCTCGCACACTGCTACTGATGAGGAACACCAGCCACCTCGTTTCCGTATTGCCGATGACGACGTCATACTGCCGCCACAAGGTTGCTCCCTCGTATCCGTGCACTGCGACATCTTACAAAACGGTACTGGCATCGCTGAAAACATCAAGGGGCTCGTATTCACTAGCGGCATTTCTATTGCCAGGGCTGTCGTCACTGTTATTGATGGATGCACTGAACTCTTGTTGACAAATATCAGCAGAGAACGCCGACACATAGTTAAAGGCACGGTTATTGCCTATTTCGACGAACTCGCTCAAGTAGAAGATTGCCATTTAGTGGAGCAAGCAGCAGCGTCTACTATCAGTACACCGACATCTGTCGACGTTAGTCCAACGTTATTTCCCATTGAGCGAGACCGCCTTCTCACGCTGATCAACAAGTTTCACGACTGCTTCTCATCCACATCAAGAGTTCGTCAAACGGCCCTAACGAAACACCGCATCATCACGGATTCCGACGCCAGACCCATTCGGTAAAATCCTTATCACGTCGCCCCAAAGGAGCGTGAGGCAATTCAAACACAGGTGAAAACGATGCTGGATGATGGTATTATTCGGCCATCTAACAGTCCTTGGGCATCACCAGTAGTACTCGTCAAAAAAAAGGGGGGTGGCGGCAGCTTGCGTTTCTGCGTCGACTATTGGAAGCTAAATCAGATCACAAAAAAGACGTCTATCCTCTGCCGCGTATTGATGATTCATTGGATAGACTACGAAACGCACGCTACTTTTCGTCCATGGACTTGAAAAGCAGCTACTGGAAAATTGAAGTGGATGAGAGAGATCGCGAGAAGACCGCCTTTGTTACGCCCGATGGACTTTATGAATTTCGCGACCGTTCGCGACCGTGCAAATCACCCAGAGCAACGCCACTATTTTCGTGACCAACCCATCTCCGTACACTGTTACCTTGGTTCGAGGGGAATGTCTCGGCAGAGTGTAACCAGTGGATAACGCACAAGTCCTGGACGTACCTGATGACTCGCGTTGTCCCAATTCGTCTACCGTCAGTGCTGTTTCCACTTATGATTCATCATCTCCTGATGTATTTGGCCCCTACATTGATGACAATCTTACGTCGGTACAGCGTTCCCAGCTTTTGGACCTGCTGCGAGAATATCATTCTTCTTTCGATGTCGGGCGAAGTTCTCTCGGTCGCGCGTCCGCTGTTACACATCGTATCGACACTGGTGCCCATCCACCATTACGGCAACGTCCCTATCGCGTGTCGCCTGCTGAACGTCGGGAAATTAAGGAGCAGGTTGATGATATGCTCAGACGCGACGTTATTCGGCCCTGGGACAGTCCCTGAGCGTCTCCTGTTGTTCTTGTTGCGAAGAAAGATGGTTCTGTGTGGTTCTGTGTGGACTACAGACGGCTCAATAAGATCACTCGCAAGGATGTTTACCCACTGCCGTGCATCGATGACGCAATTGACAGCCTTCACGGAGCCGAATTTTTTTCTTCTCTCGATCTGCGCTCGGGGTACTGGCAAGTACCCATGGCTGATGACGATCGACCGAAGACTGCGTTCATCACACCCGACGGCTTGTACGAATTCAACGTCATGCCGTTTGGTCTATGTAATGCACCTGCGACCTTTGAGCGCATGATGAACACCGTTCTGCGCAACTTGAAATGGCACACGTGCTTGTGTTACCTCGATGACGTTGTTGTGTTCGCCCCAGATTTCTCCACGCATCTCCAACGTCTCAAAGAAGTTTTCGCACGTGTGAGCAATGCCGGCTTGCAACTAAATCTGAAGAAGTGCCGCTTTGCAGCACGGCAACTCACCATCTTTGGGTACGTCGTGTCTAAGGATGGCATTCTTCCTGACCCAGCCAAGCTTCGGGCCGTGGCTGAATTCCCCAAACCTGCGTCCGTTAAAGAACTGCGTAGTTTCGTGGGCCTGTGCTCATACTTCCGACGCTTCATACGAAACTTTGCTACGATTATATCACCGCGACGAAGCTCCTTGGAAGTAACGGGCCCCTCAATTCGTGGTCGTCTGAGTGCGACGACGCGTTCGCGAAGCCTTTATGATTTTCAGGTACTTCCTTTCGGTTTGTGTTCGGCGTCAGCAACATTCCAGCGTCTGATGGACACGGTTCTC